AACAACGAAAATCGTCATTTATCAAAAAAAAAAAAAAAAAAACGAAAATCGTAAAAATAACGCAACTTCACCACCACCACCACCACTACCAGCGGCGCACCTCACTCTCCCGCGCGCACGAAAACCTCAGACCCGTAAACCCTATCGGAGGAGTGGAATTTCCTGGTCTGGTCATGGATACTTGGGATCCGACGACAAAGTCAACCTTGACTCAAATCCCTTTGCTGTCGGTGAAAGCCGGGCCACGCGATGGCGGCGCGTGGACGCAACGCCTGAAGGAAGAATACAAGGCGCTGATCACCTACACCTCCATGAACAAGTCGAAGGACAACGACTGGTTCCGGATCTCCGCCGCCAACCCCGAGGGGACGCGATGGACCGGTAAATGCTGGTATGTACACAATTTGCTCAAGTACGAATTCGATTTGCAGTTCGATATACCGGTGACCTATCCCGCCACTGCACCCGAAATTGAGCTGCCTCAGCTCGACGGAAAGACCCAAAAGGTTTTTTTTTTTAATCATTTGAATTTTAATTTTTTTCCCCCAAATGTGGAAGTTGATTTTGTTTAATTTATTTTTAATTTTGGTAAATTAATTTGTTCAGATGTATAGAGGAGGGAAGATATGTTTGACGGTGCATTTCAAGCCGCTGTGGGCGAAAAACTGGTGATCTCCTCATTCCTTTCTTCCTGTTGATTATGTTGTTCATGAATATTAATTCACATGATCTGCAAATGGTTTTTGATTAACAATTTAAATTTGACTTAGTAGAAGAATTTAGTTTGCTCTCTTTCTCCAGTTTATTCGATTCTCGACATACGGTAATTGTTAAAAGATTCTCGCTCGAAAAAATAATCGGAACCACATACTTTCTCCCTATTACTCTGTTACTGATAATGTTTCTAATAGATATTTGCGTAGATGAAGGCCTCGTTTGGTTGGGGAGATTAGCCATGATTAACTAAATAATCGGACCTTGTTTGATGTTTGGTAAACCCAATAACTTCTCGGGTCGACCCGAAAGTATTATGTTATCGAGTCTTATCTTGCCTTTTAGGGAGCTTTTTTTTTATGTCGCGGGTCCGATAAAATAATTGGGTTTTCGTTAGATTATTTAATCTTATCTTGGATCTTGGCTAATCCTATCTTAGCAACCAAACGAGGCCGAAGGTGATTATTGGTTTTAACATTTATACATCTCTGTTTGTTTTTCTCTACGTATGGGAGGATTTGGTTTTGTATTTAACTTTTCGACTGTTGCATAATAACTGCAATTTTTAGACATGATCGTTGTGCTATAATGCAAAATTTATTAAAGTAATCAGTGGAAAATGATTTCATATCTCACTTGTCAATATCGGAACCGGCAAATTTGGTTTTTATATTGACTTGCGTACTGTTTTTTTGTATGGCAGTCCTAGATTTGGAATAGCGCATGCTCTTTGTTTGGGGCTAGCACCGTGGCTTGCAGCAGAAATTCCGATTCTTGTTGATTCTGGCATGGTTAAGCACAAAGATGATGCTGCATCTTCGGCTGAATCTTCGTGAGTAACCAACCCTTCTTGTAGAGACTGAAATAATTATGCCTGAAACTTTGAGAGTTCTTGATTAAACTTATCTGTTAAGCTTGGTGTAGAACTTATACTTTTTGGCGAATAAATATCGAAAAATTGTGATGTTAGGTTTCTTATACCATCAATTTGGTACTTGTTTTTTTTTCTTTCTCCGTTTTTCTTCCTTGTTTTGGTGCATATTTTAAACTTCCATAGTTTGCTTAAGCTGATATGCTTGATATTGAAATCTTCGCCTAGTTATGGCAAGATAAAAGCAACAATTAAATGTCCATATAGTTTTAACTTTCATACGAGTATTCGTTCCCAGATTCTGAGAAGGGAAATTGTCTGCAAGTTACCGAACCATTAAATAAAATTATGACAGCCATGAAAACGAGAAGTTTAGCAAAGGAACAAATATATTCATCGTAAAATGGTATCCGTATTCAGTTACATTTAGGATAAAAGACCAAACTGAACAAAATAAGAGAGATGATACAAGAAAACAACACTTTGATACCTTGTTCGTGGCGATGTATTATAAATTTAATACATATATATAAATTATATAAAAATAAAAAATAAAAAAAAAAATCCAACTGCACACTGACATGCTTAAAATACTCTCTCATGTATGTATATATATGTATATTGTATATATAGTTTCCATGAAAAGTTAGAAATTTGGTCCAGCTGCTAAGATCTCCTCAGTGAGCTTGTTGTCTGCTCCAATCTTGTGGTTCAAAAACCCTTCAAAATTCTTCTTGAAAAGACCTCCCAACTTCACAAGAGTTTCCTTGTGTGCCTCCTTCTCAGACCACTAACAGAACATCACATATTATTATTACACAAAGTAAATTTAAAAAAAAAAAAAAAAAAGGAATAAGTGCTGCTTTGAATTTGAATCAAAACTTACTGTATTAGCAGGATCCAAAATTTCCGAAGGCACCCCCTCAATTTCAGTCGGAATCTCAAGCCCGAATACTTCCGTCTTCGTGTAGTTCGCTTTCAACAGTTCCCCTGAGTGTATTGCATCTATTATTTTCCTAGTGTAAGCTAACTTGATTCTACTTCCTGATCCATAGCTGCCACATAAAAAAATTTAAAAAAAAATAATCAGCCTTCCGAAAAATGCTTTAAAAAAAAATTAAAAAAACGGCTTAAGATAATATACCTCCCACCAGACCAGCCAGTGTTTACGAGCCAACCAGTGGCTCCGTGTTTTTGCATTTTATCTGCCAGCATGGCGGCATACTTGGTCGGATGAAGCATTATAAACGCTGCACCGAAGCAAGCAGAAAATGTTGCTGTTGGCTCCTTTATACCGTCCTCTGTTCCAGCTACCTATATATTCCACAAAACACATTTTTTTTTAAATATTACAAATAGGAGCCAAATTCGGCAGCATTTTCGAAAAAAAAAAAAGACTTTGGCCCGTATTTTAGTATAGGGATTTACGTCTAAATTACCAGAGCAGTGTAGCCGCTTATAAAGTGATACATGGTTTGAGGCAAGCTGAGTTTGCTGACAGGGGGGAGCACACCAAATGCATCACATGCCAATAGAATTACGTTTTTCGGATGAGGGCCCACACACGGTATCTTTGCGTTCGGAATAAACTCTATCGGATACGCAGCCCTAGTGTTCTCTGACATTTCGATATTTTTTTTGTTTTAATAAAAAAAATTAAGGGAGTTCGTTATTTTATCACGCATTTTAGAAGTTTTTTTTTACCTGTCACAGATTTATCAGAGTAATCCACATCTCGCGTGTGTTCATCGAACACCACATTTTCGACAACTGTCGCAACAAAAAAATGTCAGAAATCTAGTCGATTTTTACCAAATATAATTTTTTATTTATTCTTTAAATATATATACCAGCGCCGAATTTTATAGCATTCCAAATATCAGGCTCCTTCTCCCTAGACAAGTCAATGCACTTTGCATAACAACCACCTTCGATATTCGACACACCGTTCTCACTCCAGCAATGCTCATCGTCTCCTATCAAATACCTATTATTATCCGTCGACAAAGTCGTTTTACCAGTACCTTCATAATAAAAATAATAAAAAATTCCTAATTAATTCTTCGAAAATTATAAAACCTTAATTATAAGAGAAAAAAAAAACGATATAGTATCTATAATGAATTACCCGATAAACCGAAGAAGAGGGCTACATCACCATCTTTACCCATATTCGAACCGGAGTGCAACGAGAGTATTTGTCTCTTAGGCATGAGATAATGCATTACACTGAAAAGACCCTTCTTCATTTCTCCCGCATATTGGGTGCCGAGAATCACCATTTCTCGTCTCGCGAGATTTAGGTCTATGCTAGTCGATGATGTCATGTAGTGCGTGTAACGGTTGCATGGAAATTGTCCCGCGTTGTATATTGTGAAATCCGGTTCACCGAAATTCTCCAGCTCTTCTGGACTCGGTCGAATACACCTGTCAGCGGACCCCGCGTTTATATTTTTACGTTTAATATGATTGATTTAATTTAATTTGTTAGTAATAAGTTTACTCACATGTTGTGCATAAACAGAGAGTGATAGGCTCTGGCAGAGACGATACGAACTTTGATGCGATTCTCCGGGTCCCAGTTAAGGAACTGATCGTTTACGAAAACCTGAAATTTATTATTTAACCATCTAATTAATATAATTAACAATTCAAATTATATGAATTAATATTGATATATAACAAATGTATTAAAACAAAAAAAAATTACTTTTTCCAACGAGCATAAGTAATCGACGGCTCGTTCTCTGTTGACCATGAACGTGTGCTCGTCCATTTCGATGTTCGGTGAACCTCTATATATTACATCACCATTATCAATAATGAAGATTATTTAAAAAGTAAAATTAATTATGCAATAAGAAAGACAAGAGAAACTTACTTTCCCCACCAAAGATCATCGGCGGTGGTTTCGTCTTTGACGACACGTTTGTCTCTCGGCGAACGGCCGGTTTTGGCCCCCGACAGGGTGGCTAATGCACCGCTGGCTGTGATGAAAGACCCCTTCTCGTACTTTATTGCTTGCTCGTACAGCTCTGTATATAATATATATATATACATACATTAAGGTTACACTATATGCATGTATTTGTATCAATGATATTTTTGAAAACATGTGGAAAAATTAGGGTTTGAAAAGGAAGAAATTTATGTGGAAATGTGTTAATTACCAGCGGGGGAGAGATTGTAGAGGATGTGAGTGAACTTGAGGCCGCTGTCACTCATGTTCAGATTCGGCGCCGCAAAGTGGCGGTGCTGCTGCTGGTGGCTCGCCGCCGCCGACAGACGCGGCGTCTCCGCCGTCGTCCTCGCCGGATCCCCTTTCACCACATTCGGCCCGGTCTCCCGCGTCAGCGACGCCAAAGATGCACTGCAATTAATTTTAATTAATTGTTTAATTACGTCAGAACAACTCAAATATATATTATATATATATAAATACCTGATGGACTGGAGCTGCTGTTTGTGGCGGTCCTCGTCGGCGTGCGCCGCCTTGATGGGGGTGGTGGGGGCGGATTTCTTCTTCTGCAGGGAGTGCAGCTCGTCGAGCGTCTGAGCCTTCACCGGAAGGGAGCTGTCGTCGTGGCATATTTCCTCAGCCTTCTTCTTCTCCGTGTGAATCATCGGCAACCCGTTCCTCCCTTTGGCGGCGCCGCTCGCAAAGCTGAATCCTCCATTTTCCGCCGCCATTATATATTTTCGTGAGATTCTTCTCTGTGAATTATCAACCTAGAACAGAGGATGAAGGAAAGTTGGTGGAAATTAAAAAAAAAAATCAAGTTTGAACCATGCAAATGTACGGAAAGCTCACAGTGGGGAGAAGAGTAGATATATTCGATTTCTGGCGAGTCTTCTGAAATTTATACTGCACGGAATTGGATAATTTTAACTCTGGTTGAGTTAATTAACTTAACCATGGTTATTGTGGTGCCGTTAGATAATTAGATTTGATTAATTGCTCTTAGTGAAGTCAATATCGATACATATATATCGGACTACAACTGGAATTAAAATTGAAAATTGTTTTATTATTATTATTATCAAATTTAAATTACAATATCCAGTACAGAGTTGTATTATTATATTTAATTTAACACGTATAATAGGAAAACGGTGACCTGATTTCGCCGTGAATGTATTACACGTCATGATCTAATCAATAACCTCAAATCATTTGACTTTCTTCTTTAATTAATTGGAGTACTTAACTACTACTTATTCATAAATAAAAAGATAATAGTAATAAATAAATAATTCAGGGGAAATGTTATCCACAACGTGACCTTAATCAATATTTAAAAGGGCAGATAACGTAATTTTGCTTAGTCAAACCTAAATTTCGCAACAAAATATGATATGGGCCACATGTGAATCACTGACTCGACATGATATATTTTTTTGTGGGCACGTTTTATTTAATATTTTATTTACGATCGTTTAAATCAATTGGGAGAGATATTGAATTTTTATGATTTTTTGCAGTTTGAATTTTATCAGGTACTGTAAAACATGTCACAAAGAAGCCTTTCACGAATACTGCTTAACAACCACCACGACGGCGTCAACGAAAACGACAGCGTATTGAGCAAAAGGATGAGGAGGAGCCGCCCGTGACGACGGTGGTGGTGACTGGTGGTGGATATGGGTTGGCATCAAACAGGAGACACGTGCTTCTTTATCCCCAAATTCATCTTTTCCCTTCCCTTCTCTATTTTATTTTATTATTATTCACTTCTTTATTTATTGGGTTAATTACAACCACCCCAGAGGTATGGTCAAATTACGAAAACCCCCTACTGTTTGGGTAATTACAACCAATCATTAACTATAAATTTTCTTACGCGTCCATCCTTGTGGTTCCAAATTTAGCAGAATCTTCGAGATTACATGGAATATTATCAATTTTGTACCCGTTTTATCCCATTCGAACTCCACATTTTGAAGCAAGATAATCATAATATGTGTGTTTTGGCTTGTATATATTAACATATTGTGGTGCATCATAAACTGTATTTTTACACAAAACAAGTACAACCTATAGCACATTTCACGAAATCTGAGATAATTATGTTAAATTTGACACCATAAGGATGGAGGTCTAAGAAAAAATCATAGTTGAGGGGTAGATTTAATTATCCAATTTACAAGATGAGTTTTTTCGTAAATTCATCATAACTCACTCGGGGGTAGTTGTACTTTACCCTCATTTATATGTTTCTCCTAATTTTCTCTTCCAATTTTCGAAATTCGGAGTTTTCAAGTTACTGAAATATTTGGCAATGAGATTTGAATTAATTTTTCATTTCTTGAAATGTTGAATTTCCAACCCTAATTGCTAGTAACAACATTTTAGTATTTTTTTTTTGGAGGCTGTTAAATAGCCGGAATCTGGCTGGCCAGAATGTATTTATTTTCCTTTTTAATTTTTTTTCCCTTTCTTTTATAATATTATACCATTTATGACCTCATTGTTTTGCCTCCAAAATCCCCCCTAATTTCCCTCCTAATTCTCTCTCTCACATTCTCATCTCTTTATTTTTTTTTCCCGGAATGGAAGTAATATATTTATATTATCTTCTATTTATTTATTTCCATAATAGAAAGAATCTATTTATATTATCTTCTATTTCATCTCTTTATTTCTTATTTCTCTTTTTTCCCCTTTATTACCCTTTCCTTTCTTTTTTTTTCTTTTTATTAATTTATTTACCTTCAAATAAAAATACTTTTCTTTCTCTTATAACTCACCAACTTGATTTAGAGTTGCATGCTCTTCTATCGTTATGATATATTTTAGCTAATTTACCAATAATTTTATATTTTTTAGGGTTATTATTATTATTATTATTATTATTATTATTATTATTATTATTATTATTATTATTATTATTATTATTATTATTATTATTATATAATAATAATCAAAGGGTCGTTCAATTTACTTTGTAGATTCAAAGTATCATTTAATCTATAATTGTATATAATCAATTGAGATATATTGTCAAATTAGATCGATCTACATAATATATAAAATTTATGATACAATAATTTAAAAGCACTAAAAACCCTAATTTATTAATTATTGACAATCAAATATAAGTAAATTCCATAACATGATAGCATAATTTAGAAATTATAGGTGTCAATAAAAATGAATTGATAATCAACTGGGACATATGTCAAATTATATCGATTTAATTACATAATTTATATGTCGAATTAACTAAATCTATATAATAATAATAATAATAATAATAATAATAATAATAATAATAATAATAATAATAATAATAATAATAATAATAATAATATATACATCCGTTAAATGTCAACCTTAAAACACTAATTTATTAATTATTCATAATAAAATAGAAACGTGAAGAGATTATAAATAAATTTTACAATATAATAATATGTTTTGTATTTATCTTTATTCCTTTTGTGTTTACCATTTCTAGATATCAAACTCGTTAGTCCATTATAATACTTTGTGACTTAATTTTACATGCTATTTTGTTTATTTACCATATAATAATAATTAAAATAAAATAAAATAAGTATAATATACTTATTATTTTTATTTTCTGATTTAACACATGTAATCTATAATACTCCTTTTATAATTTAATAATAATAAATAAATTATTTTTCTTATGATTCATGTTTTCATTAGTAAGTTGTCCTGTGCTCATGTTTTTTTAATTATATAAATGCTGTTTTTGAAAATTTTATTTAAGTTAACAAGTAGTAGTATATTCTAGGAGGAAGTGAAAAAGAAAAATAAAATAAAAAGGAAAGGCAATAAAAGACAAACAAACTAAATATGGAGAGGGAATAAAATATATTTTCCACGTGTCAATTAACTACTGGAATCCTACTTGTGTATTAGCACGGCTGATGGCTCCAATACATACCTGATATATAATATTGGAAATTGTAATTTTATAGAGACAGAGAAAATATTTAAATTCAAATATTAATAGTGGAAGGGCAGGCTAGTAAATGAACATCATGATTTTTTCCAATATTACAAAACTACCATTTTTTGGCTGGCCAGATTCTGGTCATCTATCTTTATCCTTTTTTTTTTTTGGTTCAAAAAATAAAATAAATAAAATACCACCGTGTAGTCATTTATTAATATTGCTGCCACTCCTATTTATTGATGTTTGGTTCTTCGATTTTATAAATTATTATCTACAAACTTTTGATATCATCCATTGATCAAGAAACTTCTTGATTCTACTGCTGGAAGGAATAAATATTTCCCATTTATATTTGTAATAAACAAAAACATTTTTTAAGAATAAACCTCCAATATTCCAAATTTATAAGATCAATATTATTATTATTATTACTCCAATGAGTTATTACGCAATATAAATTTATTTTGGGCCAATGACCCAAACGTGTAAGCCCAATTTATATATCCAAAGGTGAAAGCACGAAATAAAGAGAACGGCCCAAACAATATAACTGAAAGCCCATTTGCCCGTCCAGATAAATAAAAGATCCTTTTATTTATTTATTATTTTACGATAAAAAATAATTAAACTGAATCATAAAAAAAAAATAATAATAATAAAAAAATAAAAAAAAATTGATGATTTTTGGCTTTACTAGTACAGTAGTACTATCTTTGTAAACATCCACATCTGAAAGTGTGAGAACAAATAATTTCCACGAGGTGTAATGAAAAGTAGTGGCAGAAAAAGACTTGAAAATCCTATGAATCAATCTCAATCACTGATTCTCTATTACATTTTCCCCTCTCCTCATCTTATCTTTTTTCTCTTCCAATCTCTCATTATTCAATTCCTAAATATTAATACATTCTTTATTTCTTACAATATAAAACAAATGGTGCATAATCATTAAAATACGACATCGTTTTCCTATCTTTAATTCATACATTTAAATCGAGGCATCCCAACTCGTATATTCCATTGCACAAGTGACCAAATCGATTTTCTCATATAAAAAATATGTTATGATACATCGACCGACTTTAGTTTAGTGGATTTGTTTCGTTAACTAGTTCAGTTTCGCTAAGATTTTGATCCCAAAAGAACGTTCTCTTTATTATTTCAGACACATTTAAATGTGATGTTTATTGTATTACATGTTACAAAGATGTTCAATTGTAATTTTATACATCAAATCGCACCCTAAAATAAATCACTAGCTTAAGTAATTTGCAATTTGTGTGACAAAATGTTGCAATTTTAACTTTTAATATTTCGGAAAAAAAATCTTTATTTTTTTAGCATCATTCTAGAATTTGAAAAAAATAATATTATGATGGTAAATACTAAATAGTGGTGATGGCGTTGTGTTGTACACAAGTTTGGTGGTGGATGGGGTGAGTGAGTGAGTGAGTGTGGATAGAACGCGCCCTCAATTGGCCAATCACAATTCAGAGAAATCCAACCAATACTTTTTCTCCACCCAAAACAAATAAAATAATAATTGCAATAAAACTACCAAACAAATAGATCAATTAACTCTTGAGGCAAAACTCCCTCTGCTCTTCCCCAAAGATCAAAGCTCACAAAATCACAGATTAGACCCAACATAAAACCCTGAATTCTTACCTTTTGAATTTAGGGTTTTTGATTGGATTCGTCTGAATTTGCTTGCGGTTGTGGAATCCGAGAATTCGCACGGTGGAAAATGGCGGTTTCGAGCGCGTTCGTGGGTGCGAAGCTCGAGGCCTTGATGGTCAGCAATACGGCGTCGTCCTCCGCCGTGTCTGCCTCCGCCTCCGCCTCACCGGCTCAGGTCGGCTTGTTCTGCAAGCCGTTGGCCACTCGTGCCAAACGAGTGGCTCTGATGAGGAGGAATTCGGGAATCGTCAGGGCTGAGGTTCAGACGGAAATCGTTGACCACGCCAATGCGGCTTCTTCCTCGGCTTCGAGCCTCTCAGCTCTTGAACAGCTCAAGGCCTCAGGCGCTGACAGTATGCTCCCCTCTCATTGTTGCTTTATCTATCGTTTCCCCCATTTTTTTATCAATGTCGTATTTGCTTGTGATGATTAAAATTGATTTCGATATTCGTGAATACTGTAAGCATTTCAGTATAAATTACTCGAGGATGATAGTCAAAATGATAAGGATGCTGCATTTCAGTATAACATCAGAAATTACATCTACTCGGTGGTTATAATTTCTTATAGACTTGGCGTGGTTCGTATTTTTCGAACAACTAGCGGATTGATTCTTCAGTAATGCTATGCTAAATTTTTATCTTGAATAAGTATTTATGTGGATCAAAACTAGTTTCCTATTCACAGTATTTCTACATGTGTGTGTGTGTTTATACCAGTTCTCATAGGAGTGAAGGGCTTATATTATTGAAAATATAAGCCATGATAATTGTTAGCTTAGACTTTCAGTTTTGTTTCTGGTTGGATAACAAACCTGCTTGGTTTTCCTGTTGTATTCTTCGTGTTCGTGTCTCAATTAGTAGATTGGAACATTTCTGAAATTATGTTGTTTATTTTTGACCAGGATATACAAAAGAAAAGAGCAGTATTGTTGTAATTGGTCTTAGCATCCACTCAGCACCCGTTGAAATGCGAGAAAAACTTGCTATTCCAGAAGCAGAGTGGCCTAGAGCAATTGGCGAGCTATGTGGTTTGAATCATATCGAAGAAGCCGCTGTTCTTAGTACGTGCAACAGAATGGAAATCTACGTAGTAGCACTTTCAAGGCACCGGGGAGTTAAAGAAGTGACTGAATGGATGTCCAAGGTATAAATCTTTCAGAATCTTGAAATTTTCTTATCACACCGTGAATTAATTCAACTCTGCTGATTGATTCCACCAAATTAATTCATTGTATGTTCGTTTGTTTCAGACTAGTGGAATTCCAGTGTCGGAAATATGTGAGCACCGTTTTCTGCTATACGACAAAGACGCAACTCAACACATCTTCGAAGTCTCAGCTGGGCTCGATTCCTTGGTGTTGGGCGAAGGCCAAATCCTTGCTCAAGTCAAACAAGTGGTCAAAGTCGGTCAA